TGGCCAGGTTGCCATGTGTGCAAGGCTACAGTGACCAGGTTGCCATGTGTGCAAGGTTACAGTGGCCAGGTTGCCATGTGTGCAAGGCTACAGTGGCCTGGTTGCCATGTGTGCAAGGCTACAGTGGCCTGGTTGCCATGTGTGCAAGGCTACAGTGGCCAGATTGCCATGTGTGCAAGGCTACAGTGGCCAGATTGCCATGTGTGCAAGGCTACAGTTGCCAGGTTGCCATGTGTGCAAGGCTACAGTCTAGGGTATAATTTGTATGCAAAATAAAGACAATAATTGAATAGCAATAGACAGCAACTTTGAAACTCAATTTTATTTGTACAATTGGATAGCAAGCGTTTCACAGCCACTTTAATTGATTGAGCATGAAACAATTTATGATTAAATTTCTATTGTTCATTTCCTCCTATCAGTCATTTCTCACTTTAATAAAAAATTCCTTTCATGTCATGCTCTTGACAGACTTCATTTCATTTTTTCAATTAATTAATATTTGTAACAAGCTTGTGTTCCACATATATCAGACACTTCGAGTGCTCTTTTGAGTAAAATTACATTTAATTAGGAAAATAACCGACTCTCAGAACAAGGAATTTATGAGACTCAGATTTAGTTTCCAAAACAGCCCCATATCTGTCTCAATTCTGGATGCATTAACTTTGGGGTCTACACAATGTACCTCATTTTAAGGTAAACATTTTTTTTACATCAAGTGAAATAAAAAATATGCCATTCTAAATTTAGTACTATGAACAGTTTCACCATCTTGACCTCAGTGAAATTCACTGCAACTCCCTAGGATCCCAGTGAAATTCACTACAACTCCCTAGGATCCCAATGAAATTCACTACAACTCCCTAGAACACTAGTGAAATTCACTACAACTCTCTAGGAGCCCCTAAATTTCGCAATTTTCTGTTTCTCTCAAAATATATAAAGCTGTTTACAGTTAGGCCAGAAAAAAAAAATTCTCTGTTTCTCGTTTCATGTAAATTTAAAAACGTTTTTTTTTTTTTTTTTTTTTTTTGAACATTGAGCTAAAATGGGAGAAATTTGAGACAAGTGCAAGAACAAGCGCATTTTGGAATGCTTTAGAAGGAAAAAAACATGTCCGAGGTGCATAGTTCAAAATGATGCGTGCGGAAACGAGAAAAGAAATACCGAATGACATTTTGCAAGTGTTTTCAATGACACAGAAATATCTAAACTTGTAGTCAGTAGTACATGTATAACAAATTCACATCATTTTTCGTAAAAAATATTTTAACTAGGTATATGGATCCTGACTGTAATTTTGTTCATTCAATTAACTTGAGTACCAATATTAAACTGTCACATGTTACTTTAACGGCTTCACAGGATGTTCAATTATCGGCATAAATATGATCCTCAGTGGTATTGCACACCTGAATCGCATGCCCATATTTGGAGATGTTCAATAAAATCAGAAATGTTGTAAAGCTATTCATTTTGTGTAGTGAAATAATCTTTGACTTTTCAAAGTATATTCATCTGTCATCGTCAATGCACGGTAATCTCATACGAAATGAATCAGGTTTATCACATCTTAGACGATTACAATTTTGAAAGAAATACGAGTTCTAATTTGCATATTTTCTATTACTGTATTGTAGAGAAGATTTGCTCTGAATAACAGAAATCCAGTATGGAATAGAAATTGTGTAGTCTCTATAGAGTGGAGTGAGATGATCATGAATATCGCTTGAGAGAACATAGAAAATTAGAGTCTGTGAATCATGCTTATAATGACTTCAGATGTTTAAACCATGTTCTGTCATACTGTAAAATACTTTATTTTATCTAGAATTAATTTTCGCTGAAAAGACTTTTGGGTGATTTATATGGAATTTATTTTCACTAATTTTTGTATTTTACAGTACTTGGAAAGTTTATAGAGCTCTCAGCATTGCTATGAATTAACCACTTTACATGTTATTCATGGATAACTATGGCAACCAAATCAAACTACTCGACATAAAAGAGGCGGCGTTTATCTGCTCACCGCTATGCCAACCATCCACCTCGCACCCCGATGTCGCTGGCACTGCATAAACAGTTTGGTTTAGAAACTTTTTATGTTTATTATGTAATTAAACTAGTTACAATATGTACTATATAATATTTGATTCAATTGAAGAACTGAAGTTATTAGAAAATGAACAATATGTATAGTTTCAAAACAATTGGACTGTGGTTTTCAACAAGAATTCGAAAATATCACTTTACACCAAAAATGACAAAAATATTCACCAAAATTAGATAATTGAAGATATCATCAAGATATGAACAAGTCTGAGAGAGGTCCACGTGTAGTACCTATATACGTAATATCAAAACAATCAGACAAGAAGTCGAAAATATCACTTTTCATCCAAAATTGCAAAAATATTCATCAAAATTAGAGATTTGAAGATATAACGAAATGAACAAATCTGAGAGATGTCTGCAAGGTACATATACACCAAGTATCAAAACAAAAACAATTGTAGTTTTCAAAAAGAAGTTGAAAAAGTAAAAAGTTGACATGGACGGCGACGGACAATCATTCATATGATAAACTCCACTCGACAGCGATCCTGAGCAAAGCTAAAAATATGTACTAAAAATACAGAAAGCAGTCGCAGAAGATATCACCATGAAATAAACAAATCTGACAAAAAGCCACAATGAACAATCACCTATAATAACAGCTATACTCTGTCATCTTCCATGACAGCAGAGCTAAAAAGACGCAATAATTGGCTATAGAATCCATTTGGTAATGTCCATTATCCATTAGTCGTCGAGGGCTCCCTATAATCATTGGCCAATTTACTGCCATGTATGCAAGATATTTTATCCAGGTGATATACATCCCATAAAGTGTGATTAGTCAAGATGTTTTTACCATTTGAAATTTGTAAAACGTTTATAAACAGTTCAAATAAATAACAATCATGCCGATATAAAACCAAGCGTACAATAACACAAATGATATTGTAAATCAACATTTCTGGAATTTTCTTAAATTAAACAAAAACATTGTGTTACATTCATATTCAACTTTTATTCAATTATTTATATAATACATATCAGGTGACTTTGTGACTTTTACAAATTATGGTTAATGTGTTAGAAATTACCTTTAATTAATTTCCATAAATTAAGTGGATATGTTCTTGATTAATTTTTGTAACTCCTGTGTGTTTGCGAAGCACACAAAGAAGATAATGAGTTTGGTGTGTAAATCTGTTCGAATCAAATTGGGTACATGTTTAGTATTTGTCATGTCTGTGCATATTAAGTAGCTAATTTGCATATTCTTATTCAAGGCTGTGTAAAACAAAAAATCTGGGGGTTTTGATAACATAAATGCGTACAAATTGATGGCTCTTTCACGGTGTGATAAGATTTGCTGCTGTTAGTGTAGGCACCACGATATTGATTACAAATGCAATGCAAAATAAAAATAGAATATCCAGTCTCCAACATTTGACGACAAATATTTGCCAATCTATAATTGTATATTCTACACACATACAAATATTGGCACAAATATAATAGCAATCAAATTGACTTGAGATTGATATGCACATGTATGCACTGACTTTTACAGATCATGAATTGATCGGTTGGCAACTTACAATAAATGTTTTTCATCACATAGTTTATCAGCTATAGAAAGTAATTATGTATAATTTTCATTAATTTAACACATAGATATAAGAATTGTTTCAACAAAACAGTGCCATGAGGACTGACTAAGCAGCTATTACCCTATCAAGACCACACATCTTCATCAGGTGCTATCTAACTACATACATACATTTTGTCAACAGAATGTTGAATGTTGGGTAACTTTTTTTCACACTCAACACACCCTTGTTATTAAAAAAAATACCAAAAAATGAAATAAAAGATATACTGGATAATATCAACTGTTAGTTGTTATAATTGCTGTCTGTGCAGGTTATTATTGTGTTTGTTTCATTCAAAACTGTACATCACATGGCGATATAGATATACTTAACTATTTATTAAACTTGTTTTTTTTTTAATCTGGAAAACATGTAATTTTTGAGCCAAAATATGACTTATGTTAAAATGGTTTAAGTCATTTGGCTTTATCTATATCTGCGTCTTAGTTCATCACAGTTTTGCTGTTCATCCCCCTGACTCCTCATTGAGAAAAGGCGCATGGGTGTTTATTGAGAGTATTCAGCGTAATTTTCAACTATGTTACAGAGAAAAAGCTAAAAAAGAATTTCAGTTTCTTCTAGTCTGCTTATTCTACTATCAATTTTGCATTTTATATCTCCCAGCTATATAGTTTGTTTCTTGCCCTGCAGCATACATTTTCCAAATATCAAAATTTAGGAACAAGTTAAGCAATTTATTGTTATTTTTGTTTGTTTACCCTTGGACCACCATCTTTTTTTTTCTTGCCTTGCCGATTTGTGTTTTTTTTATAATTTTTTTTTTGTGCCAATTTTGGGTCAAAAGGAAATAATTTCCCATTTAGTACAGACCGTCATTAAAATTTTGTAAAAGGAAATGTAAGTTAACATTGATGTTCAGCAAATAAAGACGAATGAGGATTTTATACACCTATTTCACGAATCCAACCCAATCAGGAATGCCCAAGCATTGCCTTTTGAAAATAGCTGAAGAGTGAAAAGTAACCCTTCTAAAGAAAATAAGACGAGTTTAGCTCCCCTTGGCAAAATTTTGCACGAGCGAATCACTCACGATCAGTTCTTTTCCTTAAAAGGAAATGCCCTACAACAACAGGTCAACAGCAAAAAACAATTAATAATACATGTATTATACCTCTAACATTTTCTTCTGCGAGTAACAGCCGCTAAAATAAAAGCATAGAATACTGTCTTTGTACATGATTGGTAGTGTAACACGAGGTCGTTTGTCTGTCTGTCTTTCTGTCTGTCTGTCTTTCTGTCTGTCTTTCTGTCTGTATATCAGTTCTTACTAACCTAACAACAGCTGCACTCTGTAGACCATCTGTAGGACTTTCCATATACATATCAGGTGCAAGGCTGTTGGTTAGATTTTGGAGAACAATGGAGTACAATTAGATATCTTCAAGTCTGATAACGGTTTGTCAGCTCAAACATTCAAGATATTTATTTTTATTTTGCAGATTTCATTTTTGGTGGTTTATAACATATCAAATCTACTGCAGACAGACAGCACAGTCACCTGTTGTTAGCTGAGATTCAGTACAATAAATTATGGTGACCATTGTACTATGACAGTATGGCGACAAAATAATGCATGCAGATGATGGGAAACAACAGACAGAATCGATATACATTACTAGTCTATCCTGTTGTCAGCCGGGATTCTGTACAATAAATGATTTTGATCATTGTACTATGACAGTATGGAGACAAAATAATGAATGCAGATGATGGAAACCACTGACAGAATCGATATACATTACTAGTCATCTATAGATATGTAACAAATAGTCGCTAAAAACTAGAACTGATTTTCTCATTGTCATAATGCAAAGAAATATTGATGAGAAGACTGATGATGTATGTTAAAAAGCAGGCGTCAGTCACGCAACATCCATTATCCACATCGTGGAACCTATAGAAGCGCTGTGATGCATGAAATTCCAATAAATGAAAGTTACATTGTCTCCCTCTTTTGAATCAAACTCAAGATTCAATTATTTTATTTCCACAAGGAGGAATATTCATTAAAAGATCGAAAGAGAATGCTAGGAGCATGGAAAAATGAGGTGTCAAATGGTTTATTGTATACTACCCCCGGTAGTTGATTATTGACACGTATGTTCAGTCTTTCAGTGCATGTTATTCGTTAAGGTTTATCTTATTTCGGGTTTAACCCCAAGCTGATTTAAAAATACATCAAAATATTTCAGGGAATGGTCTGCAATTAATTCTGACATAATTGCATGAATAGAATGAGGAATCACTAAAACAACATAACTGCTTTTTGTATCGCAATTACAGGATATATTTACTAATGTAAAACAACTCTAGTTTCTTGACTGACAAGATTTCCATTAAAACACTTCAGAATGACAGATGAAGAGATTCGTGGAGTGCTGTAAACACTCCCGTTGTGAGGTCTCTAATGGATGCCACCCAACATTCATTGGTGGTCGCTTAATATCTCCTCAACAACCGATCCTGCATATCCCGGCAGTAATAAGTGAAGAAGTGATAAGCATCTCCATAATGGAAAGATACACATCCTGTTTTTCCGGGTTTCCTGCAATTCACCCAAGGGCTTTCAATCGCTCATAATACATGCAGTTCGAAACACACAAATTCAGATCACAAGTTCATTCTAATCAAGTGAAATGAGAATTAGCAAAACAGAAAAAAGTTTAAAGTTAATTTGTTTTTAGGTTTGAAAAATTGCCATGATTTTATAGGGTTGACCATTCAAAACTCTTGGGTGGGAGATGGTAAAACTACTATGTAAAATAATTATTTTCCTTTATTTAGTGATATCGGGTTTCCATGACGATATTCCAATAATTATTTTTAGCTTGCCCCCATCAAATGTGTGTGGGATTTTTTTCTTGTGACTGTAATTTCTTCTGTAATTTTCTTTTCGGAACTTTTTTTAAAAATTTTCTCTGCACAGCAATTCAATACCCCGACACCCCCATCCCAACCCTATTTCAAAAGGTGAATCCTGTACCAGGGTATAACGATATAAGTTGTGTTCACGTTACATGAAGTACGGGCTAAGATTTAAGCTGATTTAGGCTTATCTAGCATATTTGCATTTCGGCTAGACCCAATTGCGTCCACGCACAGGGAGGGCCAGTCGTTAGCACGGGCTAAGGGCTGCCATTAGTCGGTGACCTTTGGTAAGCCGCTATTTACGAACGAAAAATGGATGACACGCGCGAGGTTCTATTTCTGCTGCTGGCATGTTTCATTCTAATTTTGAAGCGACGTGCACAGGAACGCGAGAGAAGAGGACCACTTATTTGGATGCACATAAACAGTATACAACGGGCGTAACAGAATACAGCGTTTTATTAATGCATGTCGTAGACAGCGAACCAAATTTATTTTGTCTACGATTGGAGCTGCTGTACGCTCTACTACAGTGACCCGATTAGTGTGGAAGTGAGCGCAGAGTAATGACTGGTGGAATGGGACAATTTTCACACCCAAAGGTCGCCGCAGAGGGCGCTTAGCCCTGGGCTAAGCGTTCGCGCATACTTCTTCTACTTCGCGCATTCGCGCATACTTCTAGACCGCGTCTTAAATTCGGATCAGATTTAACTCGTACTTAGCATTCCTTAGCCCGTGCTAAGCGTTCACGCACGTTTTCTTAGCACGGGCTAAGAAATTTGACCTCTTAGCCCGGGCTAAGGAGCTGTGCGTGAACGCAACTATAAAATGAATCTACACAACGAGGATATTATTTACAACACCTCAATGTGTAAGTTTTAAAAGCAGCACTTAAATCTGCAATTAACACGCCTGCAGCTTATACCCACTTCACTATCCAGACACCATTATCACTGCATGACACATGTTCAAAATATTCCACCTTTAACTATAATGACTCTTGTTTTTGGTATTATATATATGTAATATTTTTTGCAAATTCAGAGAACATATTACAACGGAACGTGCATGTTCTTACTTCATTCAGGAACTAACAGTAAATAAAATATCCCTAAAATATTAAGCAAAATAGATAATCAATTTGTATGCTTTTTTTTTTCACTTCAAACTACATTTGTGACTAATTTCCTCAAAATACTACAAATTGTAAATCTCGAACAAGAATAAAATTAGCAACTTATGGCAATTAGGTAATTCCATATTCACATATTTGAACTTAAAACAATTGAACTTGAGCTCTCTTTGTAATCTGAAGACTGAATTGATTGAGACTTTTGTACACACCAAAGTTAAAAAAAAATGCATGGTTTGAACTTTTAAAAATCACTACATTTATGCTATTTAAGATAGAGGGTCTGTGGCAAAGATAAAGATATGTGCAGGTTTTGAGCATCTCTATTGGAAGGACAAATGTAAGTTAACTACACTGTCCAGATCTTTTAGCTGACGTACTTCACATTATAGGAAACATAAAAGTTTAAAAGCACATTCAAAGGAGACTTAGATTGTAATCAGTAAAATAACACCACTGAATAACAGATAGAATAAACAGTGGTCAATTACACTGCAATAACAAATAAACTTCAGTCTATTATCAACTTGATATGTGAAATGAACGAAACAAATAGGTTAGTATGTTGAAGTTAATTGCCAACATGGTTTCATCTGAATCTCAAAGTGCAATACTATTGATTTTTCTCAGCTTCTCATAAAATATACAATGTCAGAACCAAATAGCTGACACAATGATGCCATTATTTTTTTCATACTTGCCTTTTATTGGGTTTTTAAAATAACAAATAGCTCCATGCTACAAACAAGGTAGCCATTTTGTTTTTCTTAGACTGTGCAACAGAAAGTATCCATACATTAACAGCAATGGATTCAATATTTGGTTCTCTCATCTTAATTGGTGAGTTAGGGGGTTATGAAAATCATATCTGTTTAATCTTGGTTCTAGAATTGTATTAGTTGAATGCATAACAGTAACTCAACAGACTGACTTGAATTTAAGAATATTGAATATAAAACTGGCATTGTAACACTGCATGTGACAATATGCAAATTTCCTTATAAAACCATGTCCAAACTGTTGAACTCATCTAACTGGGTACATTGAGTAAAAAATCACCCAACCAATTGAAAACATTGAAAGATACATAACAATGTGAACCAGGAACCCATCAATGTATGCCTGTGCCTTACATTATCATATATAATAAGACGATCAGCCACTTTTTAAAAAAAATAAAAAATAAATCTTATTCACAAGAATTTATAAGATACGATTTGCAACTTAGATATTAATGTACGGTGATAGGTGCTAAAGTTTGTATTCCATGTGTGCGTGGATCAAACCAATTTCTAACCAATGGTACCACAGAATGTAGTTGACACTTGAACAAATTTGAGTACAATGTACGTGAACAGAAACAAGGGAGTCTATCAGAGTATTCATAAAACGCAATACATACGTACCAGTAATATATGCTTTGCAAATATGCAAACGCTAACCAGTTCTTTCACAAACTCACTGATTTGTATGTTAATTTATCATGCGCTTTAGTAATCATCTTACAGTTCTCGTGAAACATTCATCGTATATAACGCCACTTGCATACCATTATCTTAGAAATGCATCGACTCACCTATATATATCACCGCCCTGCACAGCTTGTGCAACAGTTCTCTTGCCTTTTGGTCTGTCTGGTCTTGGCTCACCAGCCATGTTGCAATCTAGTAAAAAAAACATACACAATAGTAGTTGATAGGTGCAACAAAATATTGCTCTTGATTGGGATTAGATAGAAATAAAGTTCTATAACAGAATAGATTTGACCTTGATATGACTTTCATGAGGTGAGTTTGTGAACTTTAGATTTCATGGTGATATTTTCAATATAAAACAAGAAAATGTTAAGGATACAGTATTAGGAACATAATGCAAAAGTCACTAGTATCATATATTCTTGTGTATGTATCACTGTTCACAACACTTTCTATAAAAATTTACTATGGTTCAGGGGTCAGGAACTAGATTAGTTCAACGACAATTACCATTCTAGTTCTCACTAGAAAAACATACACTAATTTTTTACTTTTACATGCCTTGAGTTTCTTGTACATTTTTTTTCTGGTAAAATAAAATTCATTCATTCATTCATATCTAGACAAAAGTTTTTAAAAATTAAACAAACTTTTATCATGATTTTGATATATGAAATACCCAGGCATGTGGGCAAAAATCTACTAGAAACCCAGACCCAGGCACATGGGCAAATTTTACTAAAAACCCAGACCCAGGCACATGGGCAAATTTTACTAAAAACCCAGACCCAGGCACATGGGAAAACTTTACTAGAAACCCAGAGTCAGGCACATGGGCAAATTTTACTAAAAACCCAGACCCAGGCACATGGGAAAACTTTACTAGAAACCCAGACCCAGGCACATGGGCAAATTTTACTAAAAACCCAGACCCAGGCACATGGGCAAACTTTACTAGAAACCCAGACCCAGGCTCATGGGCAAACTTTACTAGAAACCCAGACCCAGGCACATGGGCAAATTTTACTAAAAACCCAGACCCAGGCACATGGGCAAACTTTACTAGAAACCCAGACCCAGGCACATGGGCAAATTTTACTAAAAACCCAGACCCAGGCACATTGGCAAACTTTACTAGAAACCCAGACCCAGGCACATGGGCAAATTTTACTAAAAACCCAGACCCAGGCACATGGGCAAATTTTACTAGAAACCGAGACCCAGGCATATGGGCAAATTTTACTAGAAACCGAGACCCAGGCACATAGGCAAATTGTACTAAAAACCCAGACCCAGGCACATGAGCAAATTTTACTAAAAACCCAGACCCAGGCATGTAGGCAGAGTTTACTCCTAACGTACATGTAGCATTGAGAAAAGCGACCTTATATACTACTATCGGAAGATTGATTTAGAAGATTGCTTTTATTGGCTACTCGAACCCCGACACATAATCATCAATCCAGCCAATCATAGGGTACCTTGTCAGACTGTTAAAAATTATGAGCCATGACATGAGATTGTTGCTTAGCAACCACGAGTATAGTACAGTGTTCCTGATTGGCCACAAGAATGGACATAATGAAACATATATAGTGAAACATTTTTGAATACATCTAAAAATAAATTTGACACAAATGTTGACTCTATAATCTTGCATACAGCAGTACAAAGTTATATGTTAGTGCTGAGAACAAGTATATCGATTTAATTTGTGTTTTTAATACATGTCTATTTATATCCGGGGACTCTTAGTTTGTTTGTACTCACAAGGTTGTATAAGATTATGGTGGTATTATTTCAGAGAGAATTATCATTATACATACAGCTTTAGACCTTGAATCCCCTAATTTTTCCTTCAAAAGTATTAGTGCACATTTTGATGTATTTTTGCTAGAATTTTGCTGATATTTTTTGAATAAACATTTTTAATCATTAGCCTACCAATCTTGATCTAAATTGGCAAAAAACAAATCAAAGAAAGCTTAGAAAGATCTCCCATGTGCTGAGAGTATTGAAGACACATTAAAAATTAATTCAAAATTACCTGTACTTGAGATATTGATGGAATAGCTGAAAACTAATTATGTAAATCAGGTAACTGGTATGAACAGATTTGAGTGTAAAACTAATAAGGCCTGAGTAATGTAATATCTGTGTACAAAGTTTCGTTGAAATGTGATTAGAACAAAAAAACTGAATTATTATTAGAGAATTAATATGAACAAATTTCAACCCAAAATTAATCGGACCTGTCTATTGTTCTAGAGCATTTATGTACCAAATTTTATTCAAATGTGATGATCAGTAATTGAGATATCAGTGTTAATTAATTATTTTAATTAGGTGATTAATAAGCATAAATATTTACCATAAACTAATTGGGTCTCTGCATAGTCCTAGGTTCATTGAAATGTGATGATGAATACTCTATAAAAGTTTCATTAAAATCCAATTAGTGGTTCTTTATATATCAGTGGAACATTCATGGAAAAAATTAACTAATTATGCGGCTTAGGTAATTAATATGCACAAATATTTACCCCAAAACTAATCAGGTCTCTGCACAGTCCTTAAGTAACTATGTACCAAGTTTCATTGAAATGTGATGATTACTACTTGAAATATCAAAAGCTGAAAATTAATTAATTATGCAAATTAGGTAATTAATATGTACTGATATTACACTAAAAACTATCAGGTCTGAGCAGTATCCTATGACATCTATGTACCAAGTTTTATTGAAATGTGATGATTACTACTTGAAATATCAAAAGCTGAAAATTAATTAATTATGCAAATTAGGTAATTAATATGTACTGATATTACACTAAAAACTATCAGGTCTGTGCAGTGTCATATGACATCTATGTACCAAGTTTCATTGAAATGTGATGATTACTACTTGACATATCAAAAGCTGAAAATTAATTAATTATGCAAATTAGGTAATTAATATGTACTGATATTACTCTAAAAACTATCAGGTCTGTGCAGTGTCCTATGATATCTATGTACCAAGTTTTATTGAAATGTGATGATTAGTACTTGAGATATCAGTGGAATAAAAGCAAATCAAAGAAAGCTTAGAAAGAACTCCCGTGTGCTGAGGGAATAGGGATCATGATGTAATATTCAGCTACATGTATATTTGAAAATGATAAACAAATTATGAATAATCTATTAAATAAGGAGCCACCAGTATTCATCTACACACATAGACATCGTATACCTACAATAAGCCTACTTAAAAATATGCATAAAAAGTCTACACAAAATTTGCAACATTAAAAAGAAACCTGAAATAATTCATAAAACATTGGGGAAAATGAAATGCAACGAAAATAGTAAACAAATAAATGCCCAAAATAAATTTTGTCAGCTCTGTGTAAATAGATATTTTTACTGGGAATGTGCCCCATTTTACGTACGAGAAGCCCTTTAATACATAACGCAGTAGTCATCAACACACATAGACATCCTATACCTACTAATCGACATGATAGCTTCGTAATTTGGGGAAGGTGGGGGTGAAAGTGCACCATGCAAGTTTCCAAATGTGTAAAGGAAAATAAAGGAAAGAAGTACAATACAATGTTGGTAAGCGATGCAAAGGAAATATCTCCTTACGGCAGCGACTTGATACAACTACATTGATGCTGGAGGTCACCATATTT